GTCAAAAAGAATAAGTGTAGATTTTAATCTGCTATATTTTAAAAATGAAAGTGGGGGGATAAGCATATGTTTGTTTTTGGACTCACAACTTCACGAATTAATTATGAGCAGATGCACAAGTGTTAAAAAAAAAAAAAAAGATTCTCTAAGGAGTCCTGTGGAGGTCCTGTGGAGGGAGGATTCACAATATGTACCTTGTTATTTCAACTTGGTTGGTCCTGTGAATGTATTACTTAGAAAACTAGATACAATTTTGTATGAAAGAGCTTTTCTCCAATAGTTTCTCTGTCCTTTTTCTTTCTTTATCCCCAAAGGACAGATGTACACGCCGGTGCGCATGCCCACACAAATAAACCTAGAATGAGTTTTTAATAGGAAAGCATTTTCAAGGGCTGACTCAGTCACTGATGCCAGCCATTTATTTCTGAGAACTGATGAGTTTGACAGATGCTCGGGATCCAGCCATCCTTGGTAGTGACAAGCTTTTGACACCTGAATGAGGGAAATAAACCTAAGGGAACAAATTTGCCTTTCTCAAAACAATCATAAAAACTTACAGACCCATTTCCTCGTAACAAGTTAGTGTTTCTCTGTGTCTCAGCCCTTTTCAATTCCTCACATAGAAGCTCCCTTCTGTGAGACATCCATCACTACCTTCCCCCACAGAAACTCTGCTCTTGAGATAGAATTGCCACATACGGCAAATAAAAACACAACATGCCTTTCTAAATCTGGGTTTCAGGTAAATAATTGTTTAATTGTATTTCATGCAACAGTTGGGGTATACTTAAATGAAAACAATTATTTGTGCTTATCTGAAATTCAAGTTTACCTGTGCATACTACATTTTATTTTACAGCCACATCCTCATGTACCACCTGTAGAAAGCTTGTTAGATGCACTTGAACATGTTAGATGTTAGCTGAGAGGGTAATCAAGTACTTAGTACAGTACTACCAACAGAATTTTCTATGAAAACAGACACTCTCTCTGTCCTTGCTGTCCATTACAGTAGCCATCAGCAACTTGGAATGTGACTAGTGCAACAGAGGGCCTGATTTTTAAATTGTAGCATTTTATTTAAGCTGATAGTGTTACAAGTGATTAATGGCTCCTGTACCCGGCAGAGCAGTTCTCGAGCCAGTCATGAATTTTCCTCTAAATTTAGCAACTGGAATTTCAGATCAAGTGGTGGCTAAAAGGGTACATGGCCCAGGAATAAACTCCCAGGTCCCTGCTACGTAGTGGCTGTTTCACTTCTGTGCTGATAGAAGTTTTGCTGTCAACTTACTCTTTGAATGTTCACTGATAATCTACTAAATGGGTAGGGAAGGTGTGCTGTTCTAGGGAATGGATACGAGTGTGTAGAATTCTTCCACCACCTCACCCTGTGGATGAGAGTATTAACGGCATCATCCCAGCATTAGAATGGGAAAGCCGAGGAGGCCGTTTGACATGTGCCAGAGCAGAGATTGAGAAGTGGATGAAAGAGCATCGCTGTGGTCACATTCCATCTACGGGACCCTTTTCTTTCCAAGATTCCAAACACACATTTAGTAGCCACAGGCCCAGCAGCATATTAAAGAGGATTCTCTCATGCATAACAGCCAGGAGAGAGCAGGGCCTGAGAGGAATGAAGGGCTCCTGGGTACACTGGGCTTCTCAGGAGACTCTGAGTCTGGAGAGGTTAGTACAGAAACCCGGAAAAGGTGCAATATGAACAAGCAAATGTGCACCTCTCAAAATTCCCCTGTGTTCCTGGGCAGGGCAAACAGGTAATGGAGTAACAGTGGTTACTGGGCAGATGTTTGAGTTGGGAATTCAGTGGGATCTGAGAGGGCTTTGTGGCCTGTGACAGTCGTTTCCTGGTTCACTCAAGAAAGCTGATGCTGCCACCGCTGGAGCTGGGGTATCATAGTGAGTGCTGGCGCCAGGTCCCTGTCTTGGGGTACAGAGAGGGTCACAGGAAGAGGCAAACAAATGGGGCACTGGATAAATAAAATCTCAGATCACACTGTATTTCAAATAATCTACACAGGATGATTGTCAGAAAGTAATTCTGAGCAAATTACCTGGAGTAATTTGGACAAAGGGAGGTTCCTTACTTTACTGCTTTTTCTTTCAATTACAAACTTAGTACATGCCCATCAATTCACACAGAGGTGTTTGTAAAGGCTTACAGGTTTTTTTCTTATCAGCTCACATGGCAGAGCTATGTGGTAGATCCCAAGTGTCTACTAATAAATGGCTATAGCAAGGATGAGCTCTCAAAAGATTAAAGACAGTGGCAATTCTCCCTTCTTCCCAGCAGTCCTGAATAGTATTGGTTTTAGAGAATGTGTATTTAATGTGTATTTACAGGTGAGAGAAAAAGTATCTTTTCTGGCATAAAATGCATAAATTCTAGGAAGATGAAGAGTTCTCCAATCTCATACTTAGTGGCTATCTGAATTGAATTGCAGTTTAATTGAAATCAAATTAAAAAGGTCATTAATCTTTTATGTACTATGTGTTACAATACCTTATCTGAAAGCATTGCTGATTTTCACTTTTTTTATGTTATACTGTGTTGTTAATTTCTTTCTGGTTTATGTGGTTTGTGTCCTCCCTATATGACTTTTGTGTTTCCGGCTTTGCTTAAAAATGAAACCGCTCCCTCAAAACTCAGGCCTGAAGTTATATAAAATGTTTCCTAATATTTCATAGATTTGTATATTGTATTTAGATCTTTATCCATCGGGGTAGGTATATTTTAGACAGACTTCTCTGAAGATGAGCTGAAGTCTGAAGGATAAGATGGAGCTTGCCAGAAAAAAAGTCAGAGGACAAGCTTTTCAGAGCAATTAGACCAACAATGCAAGTTTTGAAGAGACAAACATCTTGGAAAGTAGGAGAGGCCAGTGTGACTGGAACAGGAAAATGAAGATTGAGTCAGAGATTTGGCCTTGGTGACCCTTTAGATTATAGTAGAGCATAAATTAAGGTATATATTGAAGGTGTGTAGATGACATGAATTACCTAGATAAATGAAAGAGAGCAAGACTCCTTGAATCTTCTCTTGGTTAAATAGATTTATGGTTAAGTGACATACTGGTTAGGGGAGGACTGGGAAGCACTATGTGTTTTGTTTCAAAACACACATGTGTTTTGATGTCTTGAGGTTGAGAGGCCTAATAGGGTTGCAAGTGAAGGGGTCAAGGAGGAATCTTTATACACACATTTACATTTCAGGGAAGAGGACAAGGCTAGAAGTATCAAATTGGAAACTTATTATATAGTCTTTGAAACTGCAACATTGATAAAATCATGAAGGGGCCCTCGTTGGTGGCGCAATGGGTTAAAGCGCCACATTATGAAGCTCTCCAAAGCCACTGAAACATGAGTACAATCCCCTGGCCAGGGAGGTGACCCACATGGCAGGCCTCTCCTAGCCCGGCAAACCGCTCTGCTCCCCTCAGCAGTGTATTTCAATAGATCTGCCTATTCTGCCCCCACTCTGTCTCTGGTGAACCCTCTCACCCACCATGCCTCTGGCCTGTACACCAGTTCTTTAAGCATAAGTAAATCTAAAAAAAATCATGAATGGGACAGGTTTCAAGTCCCTAAAATTTAGAGCATGAGGTAGTCTGGCCATCTGGAGTGATATGCCTTCTATCAGGACAATCTGTTGTGGTGTAAAGTTCAGTCCTGATCTTTAAGCTTTGGTTACCAAAAATAGACAAAAATGGATGTCTTGCCAGAGTGTCTGCTGCAGAGTGAAGGAAGCAGTGAAGTTTTTTTTTTTTTAAGGTTTATTTATTTATGAATTCAGAACTGGGGTACAGGCCAGAGGTGGAGAGGATTCATCAGAGACAGAGTGGGGAGCAGAACAGCAGACTGACGAAGTACACTGCTGAGGGGAGCAGCGGGCGGGTCAGGAGAGGCCAGCTGCACCATGTGGATCACATCTGGGGCGGGGATCAAACTCGCAAGGAATCTGCTGCCAGCTTCATGATGCTGCGCTTTAGCTTTAACTGCTGTCACTGAGGCCGGGAGTGGTCAAATTTTAAGATCCAACTGATAGACAAAGAACTAGAACAAAGTGTCTAATGTCTCCCTCACTTGCTTCTTTAAGATAAAGCTTCCACTCTAAGTGCAGATTTCCAATTCCTAAGAGATACTGATGTGCTCTTCCTGCTCAAACTGCAACTCACCAAACAGCCCTAAATAATGTCCAGTGATATTCTGCTCTTTTTCAAAATGACTACATTGATTTCATGCCTGAGAGTTTACTCACTTTAAGCCTATATATCAGATTCCAATTTCTCTTGAAGTTAAAATGATTACACTTGTGATATTTTATAAAAATGTTTATATTTATTACTAGGATTAACAGATGATAAGCTCTTAGACAATAACCCTAATTTTAGCCTTACAATGAATATTTTGCTTTACCATTAGTTGTAAAATTTATTACATTTGAAAAGAGTACAAATGTTACATAAAATATAAAGGAAATGGATGATGGATGGAATAAAAGAAAGCCTATTATCACATAAATTATTTGGAAATTTTAAAAGGGACCTGTAATTGGTGATAAGTCAAATGATCTGCTTTGTTCAGAATGACCTTTATTTATGCAAATAATGATTCTGTCTGAGCCTCACATCTCAGTAAATCCCTGAGATCAACTTGTGTCCCTGGTGCCTTCAGTAATTGGAAGGCCTGGGTTTATCATTCTCATCACCTTGCCCCAATTTAAATGGCCCTACCCAGGACCCTGGAGGCGTGGTAGATGGAGACAAGCTGAAGAGCTGGAAAGCAACTGAAGCTACTGAGACTTTATTGCACACTAGAGAATTTTCCCAAGAAGTAACTGGGGCTTTTGGATACAAACAGTGACATTTCAAAGTAGAAGGCAGAGACGTGTGTTAAGAGGGAAAGCTAGGACGGAACTGCAAGGCATGTTCTCTTGGAGAACAACCTGTTTACCTCTCATTAGGTAAGAGATGGTCAGTTGACATCTTCTGTGTTTCTCTGAAGCTCCCCAAATAAACAGCCAATACAAACTGGATTTTCAGAAGGGATTTTTCTATAGCAAAGAGAAGATAGCTAACATAAGTTGCTTATGATTTGCTCTTAAGTCCTTAATTTTGAAATTGGACTAATGCTTACTTTTAAGATTGTTGGGTTAAATGATGGAAACATGCAGAAATTGTGCCTGATACAAAGAAAGTTATAAATATTGACCATTACTCTTGAATACCCTGTGTTCAGAACCAGCTGCTGAATCCACTTTCCATTATAAAGTGAGCAAAGGCATCTAGGAAGAAATGGAGGCATGGTGTAATGAAGTACCTAGTTTAAGATCACACACCGGTTAAGTAGGGGAGCCAGCTTCAAAGCCAACGTGGAAAGTTAATAAAAAGGACCTCAAGGTTTCTGTAAAGCAATTCCAACCTAGGAATCCAAGTTCTCCAACAGTATAAGGGATGCTGAATACAATGAACCCTGTTCTCGAAGAGAATCCTGTCTTGGAACTGTATGAGTCTGGCCTTTCTCACACTCTAATTCTTGGTCCTGCTCCTTAGAATTGTTTAAAATGACTGAGGAAAATTCTAATGTGTGGAAATCAAGGTGTTCACTTTCCCCTCCATTTTGCGTTCACCAAACTCCGACATTCCAGTTGCTTTTCTTGCTGATGGTTTTGGGAAAGAGGGGTATTTATAGACACTTCTCCACAAGTGTCAGTATGTATAAAGTGGGAGGCATGACCACTGCTTAGATATCTCTTCCTATACACGAGAATTCAGCCTCCTTTCCTATTTATTCCCATCAGTGCACAAACTCAGTTATTCAAAAGAAAAATTTCTAACTGGAAAATAGGGCATTTTCCAGGGATTTGTGTGGTACGTAGGTTATGGCAACCTAAGTTACTAGATCCTTAGCAGTTATGTTTTGGAAATTCCTGCAGCCCTATCCTAACCCAAGCTGTGGGGACCTAGGTGTTTATGGATCTTAAAATGTACAATACTAACTCCAATTCATTCATTGTTAGGCAGTGATCTAGGTTGGGACATTAAGTAGTTAATTAACTTAGAAACTGATGAAGATGCTACGCCAATTTAGATACAGAATTCTAGGAGATTCCATTTGCTCACAGCCTGTGAATAGGATACTCCAGCGTGAGTCATTCTGTTATTTTAGTCAATTTGGAAAAGTCCTTTTAAATGTTCTAGTTTCATTTGGTAGTCTTTGAAAGGGCCAACATTAGTTCTTTACAGAATAAAGAAAGGGAGTTGCCCACACTGAGTGTATATAAAAGGATCTGTTCATGTTTAACACCCTGACCCGCTGCACTCAAGAACAAAGTAGTTTCCAAGGCAATCTAAAGTTACATCATTGCATTTATTTCCGTAACACATAGCAAATCGCACAAAAACACTTTACTATACTTCATCACTATATTTTCACGTAGAAAGCTGTTTCAGCAATGACCGGGCCCGTTCCTAGAAGCTTCATATCCGTAAAGACCACTGTAACGTGGAAGGAAACTGATTTACCTTTACACACGTTTGCTTTTAATATAGTGATTTTCGCTCTTCCTTTGATTGGGTGGGGGGCTCTGAAAAGAGCCTTTGGGTCTAAAGCGTTTCTGGAAACTCAAGGTGCCCGTCAAATCACTTGCCCTTGGCCTTGTGGTGGCTCTCGGTCTTCTTGGGCAGCAGCACGGCCTGGATGTTGGGCAGGACGCCGCCCTGCGCGATGGTCACGCGGCCCAGCAGCTTGTTGAGCTCCTCGTCGTTGCGGATGGCCAGCTGCAGGTGGCGCGGGATGATGCGCGTCTTCTTGTTGTCGCGGGCCGCGTTGCCCGCCAGCTCCAGGATCTCGGCCGTCAGGTACTCCAGCACGGCCGCCAGGTACACCGGCGCGCCCGCCCCGACCCGCTCGGCGTAGTTGCCCTTGCGCAGCAGGCGGTGCACCCGGCCCACGGGGAACTGCAAGCCTGCGCGAGACGAGCGAGATTTCGCCTTAGCGCGAGCCTTACCGCCCTGTTTACCCCGTCCAGACATTGCAAAAGAGCAAAAACCAAAATGAAAGCGAGCAAAAGCAAAATAAAAGTAAACAAACCCTGCGTAATTGATAAAACAAACTAATCCTTGAAGTTAGAGCCACACTGCTGCTTTTATAGGCATTTCCTGGAGAGTAAATTCCGCTTTCTGATTGGTTAGTAGTGAGACTCACTCAAGTAGCCAATAGAAAGGCTTCATTTCCATACCTCATTTGCATAGTACTGCCCATGTATGACAGACTTACTGTTTGTCTTCCAATTAACTAAGACGGGCTCTGAATTCCTCATTAGCATAGAGGCCCTATAAATAGCAGAAATCCACTCCTCACTTTCACTTTATTCTCGGTGTCTTGAGATTTCAAAATGCCTGAGCCGGCCAAGTCCGCGCCCGCCCCGAAGAAGGGCTCCAAGAAGGCGGTGACCAAGGCGCAGAAGAAGGACGGCAAGAAGCGCAAGCGCAGCCGCAAGGAGAGCTACTCGGTGTACGTGTACAAGGTGCTGAAGCAGGTGCACCCCGACACGGGCATCTCGTCCAAGGCCATGGGCATCATGAACTCGTTCGTCAACGACATCTTCGAGCGCATCGCGGGCGAGGCGTCGCGCCTGGCGCACTACAACAAGCGCTCGACCATCACGTCGCGGGAGATCCAGACGGCCGTGCGCCTGCTGCTGCCCGGCGAGCTGGCCAAGCACGCCGTGTCCGAGGGCACCAAGGCCGTCACCAAGTACACCAGCTCCAAGTAAACTCGCCAAGTCAGCGGCTTCACAACCTAACCCCAAAGGCTCTTTTAAGAGCCACCCACTTGTCCACAAAGAGAGCTGTAATCAGGTTTGTTTCGTGAAGCTGGGAGAAAATAGTACGCTTTATTTTTAAATGAAAGTACTGCCAGATGGTAGCCAGTTCTATTTTTCTTTGTAATTGGGCTTCATCCAACGTCTGGTGTCTGAACGCAAGTTCTGTAGGTGTCTGAGATTGTCAGAATGACCTATTTGAAAAGGTGAAGGTTCAAAGCTTGGGTATTTATCTGGACAGCTCTGAAAGGTAAGCTGAACTGAAGGTATAGAGGTGCCATCAAGATTAGGGACTGGGAGATTCCAAGTGTTTAACTGCAGTGCTAATAAAGCATGTTAGTTGGGGACATGCAGATTTTTGTTCTGTCGGGTTTTTTAAGCTGGGTTTGTAATTTGGTTATAAATAACTACTGAATCAGAAACAGGGACTCCACTCTCCATATAAAGCGAAATTTTAATAGTTTATAAGAATTTACTCGCAATATGGAATGCTCCAGGAGAGGGGTCTGATCTGAATACATGCCTTACTTTTTAGCAGGTCAACACAGTTTCAAGTGACAATTTCTACCAGCTTTAAATCTTATTTTTTTTTTTTTAACAACAGAAACAATTGGTCAAAGTTTGTATTTTAGGACTCAATTTTAAGCCAATTTTTTTTACCTTAATATGAAAGTAATTATACGTAGATACTAGTTTTAAATGGCTTATGTAAAGCCTGAAAAAGTAAGAGCAACAGCAAAATTGATTTTTTTTCTTAGGCTTTCTTGTGGTTTAAACTGGGGGAAGTTAAACTGAGTTTAATTAGTGGTCTGAGTTATTTTAGTTAAGAGAAACAATGCCATTTTTTCAAAGTTATTTAAGTATGTGGCATCTAATTTTAGGACAAAATTGAATTCTAGGGGGAGGGACAAAAAATTCTCATCGCGATAATTTTTGGACAGATTCTTGTCACGATGTAAAAATGTAAGCATAATTCAGTTGCACAGTCTAGGGTCTATCTTAAAAATCCTAATTAATTTGAATTTACTAAATTTCTCCCACTTGGTTTACTGGCTAGGTGAATCAACATTTTATTTAAAATTTCACATTGTAGATGATGCATTGAAATAAGTAAATTCAATAATAAAAGAATGTCATTTAAACAATAGCATAAATGTGTGTATGTCACAAATCATAAATCCCTATTATTTGTATAAAGACTGAATGTACTATATAGATAATTAAGACATTGAGTAAATTAATGCCTAATCTTTGGATACATCCACAAATTCTAAATTAAAGGGTGTAAGAAAATCCCTATTAAAGTCAACTTCATCTGTGGAAGTCTCTGATTTTCATGTAGTTTAGAACAGCCATAAGTTAACAGGGTAGAAAATGTACATGTGCCTTAGAAAAATGAAGATAGATAGGCTTTTTTTGCCATTTTGAATCTGTAAAAGGGATAAGCAGTGTGCAAGTCGGGGCCCAGAGGGACAGGTAGGTTTGGGACTGCCTGCCAGTTTTCGTAAGCCTGTGGGGGAACACTGCTGCTTATGTTTTAAGACTGTCTTGAAAACAAACAGCTTTGACCCTACCAATTACCACAGCAACAGAGAAATTACAAATATGCATAAAAATAATGGCTATGCTTTGTCTACTCATTAGAAAAATATTAGCTTGCTCGTGTAGTAAATTCAGTTTAATATGAATTGTCTTATTTATGCTGGCAAGGTAAATATACTTTAGGACTGAACTTAAATCCCTTGAATTCATTGTTATATGAATTAATCATTTTATTTATCTGTGATTTATTTGCCTATCTCTAAACACAAGCACAAAAAGTTACCTGTATTTGTCTGACGACACACCAAAAACTTTTCAAACGTGTAAAACTGCAGAATTCAAAGGGAACTTTGGAAATATTGTGTCTTTGATTTTTTTTTTCTCTTTTGCCTTAAATATTTGTCCATAAGTAATTTTTTAACAAAAGTTCTTCAATTCAAAGAGCTTTGTCCCATTCATAGGTTGTGTTTTAAATGCCATTCTAAAATAAAGCTGCAAGTATTTTCTTCCCCTTACATATCCATGCCGTATATATTCATATCTTAAGTAATCAGTTTTCTTTTACATCTTTACTTTTATATATCATGAAGTCAATATCTAAATTCAAAATAATAAAACTGTTATGATGTCTTTTATAAAAGAAAATTATCTCTGAGGTTTCCATGACAGTCGTTGGGTAACCACAGGTTTTATTTTCATACCTGAAAGGAAGCATCATAAAATAATAAGGCATGTTTGGTATTTTTCAGATACCACTTGTAAAATCACTGTTTCACCTACTTTTTATATAACTTTTTAATGTCCCATTCTAAATCCAGCCTCCTAACTTTCTTTTCATGTTAAATGTTCTAAAAGCTGTCCTCACACTAAACTTACTATATTCCAGTTTGTCTGCTTGAAGGTTTAACCCTAATTAGTGTTTTGCCCTATTATTTCTAAATTAATTATCTCAGAGTTAATTCAGGTGTACTTTTTCACTATTGTTTTCTAGCAACTATTTTATCAACAATAACTTAACTGTTTCATAACTCGGATATGTGTCACATTGCTCAAAGCTTGAGTTGACATATATTTAAAAAGAGAAATCCACAAATTGTAGACATTTAATTGTCTTTATAAGATGATTCATGAATTCATGGGCAGTATTCTGTCTGAATAGTTTCAGAGGTTACATGAAAAGGAGGTAATTTGTAGGCAGAAAAAGGGTAGGACAGGGTTATTAGCCAAAGAAAAGATTGTTTCAGGTAAAGTTGATGGAGTCCAGATGATAGGACCTGGTGTTTGGGGGTTTCATTAGCACATGTTCTTTGATGGAATAATTGTGGAAGTTAGTGCCTTGGTCTCAGATTGGATTGGACTTCTGACATCAGTAATCCTCTCTGCCTACCCCCACCTCAAACTGTTATAATCTTTTCTGACCCCATCAGTTTCCTGGAACTTCCCATAACTGGTATATTAAGGTGGCGGAAGAGGAAAGGGAGATAACAGAGGACTCCCTTTTGGACCTGCATTTATTTGTAACTTAACAGTATTCATAATAGATGTGCCTGAGGGTGTTCCTTATTTTCACTTGTATGAGAAAAAGGGAGTTTTCTTGTGAGAACAAAGGAATTTTCTGATTTATTCTTAAAGCTCAATCACATGGGGTGACAGTGGGGGAGGATAATTACTCATGAGAGACAAAGGAACAACTAGTTAAAATAAAAGGAAATGCTAAAGAAAATATCCCAACTGCAGTGCAAAAATGTAACACTTAGTGATTTAATCAGAGTCCATACAGTAATGACAATTGTCTCAACTGGTTTCTAAATTCAAAAAAATCCAACTATCCTTTCAATACAAATTGACTCTCAAAAATCTCATACTGCTTGTGTAGCCAACCCATCTCCAAACTATAATTAGGTAACAAAAAAGAATTTCAACAACAGACAAAAAGGAGTTCCAATTTTACAAAAATTTTCATTAGTGCTACTTTTTGACAAGTGAATGTATCTTGCCTTACTATAAATATCATAGCATAATGTAAAAGGGGTGGTTCCACGCTCCCTGCCCCTCTATTGAAAGGTGAAGCTGAGCAGAAGCTGAGCAGCAAGGGCAAGAGGAGACTTGGGGAATAGACTTGCAGGAGGTTCATCGAGCAGAGATCTGAAAAGAAGCCGTGCTTGCTTCTTGCACTAGATTTGGCCTTGCACTAGACCTTGGGAACAAGGAAGGAAACACTTGAAAGAGATGTGGGTGACACCCCTGGGGAGGCTGGCAATGGCAGACATTCTCTTGAGTTGCATTTTGGTGTTCTCCTTCCAGATGTGCCTACCCCTGCGGCCTCTTTCCTATGGGTCCCCTCTAGAAGGTGTCTTAGGCTTGGAGCAGGCTTTCAGAAGTGTCAACTTTATAACAATGCTGCAAAGGTCTATTTTCAGCACTTGCAACTATAAGCATTACTCTTAAGCTTCAGGACAGATAAATCTTTGATTCCAGTATAAACACATTAACAATCTTAACACTAGGTAGATACATACATTGAAACCCCAATCTAGGGCCGTTCCTGGTGGCACAACAGGTTAGGATGTATCACTGCAAGCAAGTGGCAGCTGTTTCAGTGCAAGTTGGATCTGGCCCCGGAGGTGACCCACATGATATTCTGGAATGGAAGCGTTTCCTTAGATCCAGAATAGGAAATTCTGTCCTTTTTCCACTGTATTCTGTTTTGTCCTCTCCT